ACACACACACACACACACACACACACACACACACACACACACACACACTGAAATAAAAAAAAAAACCTAGAAGTGTGGAGGGAAAGAGTGGTCCCAAGTCTCCTGCCATGAGGGCAGAGAGTTCGTGTGGAACCTGACAGTCTCCCTCACCGAAACCCAGGTTCTCACCATGTAATGAGGATGCACTGGCATCTGCTTCAGGATTCACAGCCTCCGGGGTGCAGGGGAACAGACTGAGGACCACAGTATCTGAGCTGTCTGGGGATTCGTCTCTGGGGTCCTCAGGATCCTCAAGTTCAGGAGCAGGGGACTGCTGGTTTGGGGTGAGGTTCTCTGCAAGCTGAGTGGGCTCCATGGTGGGAGCTAGAGGGAAGAGATGACAATAATTATCAAAAGCTCTTGGGTCCCCAGGATGACTCAGCTTGACACCAGGCCAGATGACCTAGGTTTAATCCCAGGAACCCACATGGTGAGGGAAAGAACTTACTAAAGTTGTCCTCTGGCCTCCACATCAGCTCCATGGCACATCCCACCCCCAAATAAAGGAATAAATTAGTTCTTATCGGGGCTGGGACTTGGTTAGGTCCTGACATGGTGGTGCACACCTTTAATGCCAGTACTCAGGAGCCAGGTAGATCAGGTAGATCCTTTGAGTTTGAGGCCAGCCTGGTCTACCCAGTAAGTTCCAGGACAGCCAGAGCTATGTTAGAGAGACCCTATCTCAAAAATCTCAAATCTCTCTCTCTCTCTCTCTCCCTCTCCCTCTGTGTGTGTGTGTGTGTGTGTGTGTGTGTGTGTGTGTGTGTGGTGTGTATGTATATGTATATATGCGCACACACACTAGGCATGGTCTGCATACTCTGCCTTGTATAGTGAGAATGGGAAACTTTAGGCTTTGGATAATTGCTATTGCCAAGAAATTAACACCAGAGTCCCAGGCACTTGCACCAGGCAATAAAATCGTAGTTCGGGCAGCAGTCTGTGTTCAAATCCCCTCGCTTACAAGCTGTGGAAACCTGGGCTATGACTAAGCTGAACCTCAGTTTTCTCCTCAATAGGGTGAAAAAACGAGGCCTCAGAGAGGTCATGTCAGAAGACAGCACAGAGGGGTACTAACACCAAACTTACCAGTGTGCCTCGGTGGTTATTTGGGTCGGGGTCCGCCAAAATGACTTAGGGCTCTATAAACGCTACGACACAGGAGGTTCACTCACCTCCCTCCAGCCTCCTCCGTCCCCCTACGCTGCAAGCCTGGGTATCCCAAAACTCGGGATCCCCTGTTCACAAACTTTTCTGGTCCAGTGGATCTAGTGAGGTGCAAATTGGTGGTCGGACGCTCAGCACTCTCGCTTCCTCTGCTGGGACAGAGAGCAGCAACTTAATACGCGACGACTACTCCAACTGGAGAACTCCCCACTGCGCCTGCGCACCCCTTCCCAGCAAAAGTGCCAAGGACCCGCAGCTGCTTCTGGCCCTTTAAGACCCGAGGGCCGGGCACGGCTTCCGCAGGTCAGGAAGTACAGCGGAGCATGCGCGCGGCCTCCCCGCGACGGGCCGGGGGCGCCTGCACCCGCTGAGGGTTTCACTGCGCATGTGCAGCCTCCGCCCCGCCCACCGTCTCCGCAGTCGGCACCGCCTGCGGGCGGAGCGCGGGGCTCCCGGGGGCGGAGACACGTGGGGGACCTGGGAGGTCAAGGGGCCGGGGTTCACTAGTGCCTCCCGGTCCGAGGGACGTCAGCGTGCGCAGGGACGTGGTAGCCCCAGGGGGTCCCTGACGCGGTGCCCTAGAGCGCCGGGAAGGCTCCCCCTGCCCACGCACGCGCGGGGTCGCCGCCCTCCATCTCCGGTCTGAACAAAAGCTGACGCCAGACCTGCAGGCTCGCGGCGGCTGTTTCAACCCGGAAAGTTTAGGCAGCCGTCCCGGTCTCCCGACTTCCGGTTCCGTTTTTGGGGCCCTGTCTGGCGGCCTTCGCTATGGAAGAACCAGAGATGCAGCTGAAGGGAAAGAAAGGTGTTGCGGGGCACCGGGCGGATGGCGGGGTCCCCGCGGGAGGTGATGTGACCGCCGCGTAGTGACCCGGGGCGGGGGAAGGCTCTGTTTTCTGTTTCTGAGACAAGGTCTCAGGATGTAGCCCTGGCTGTTTTGGAAAACTCGCTGTGTAGATCAGGCTAGCCTCTAACACTTCTGCCTCCCCCCCCCTTCGAGACAGGGTTTCTCTGTGTAGCCCAGGCTGGCCTCGAACTCACAGAGATCCGCCTGGCTCTGCCTCCCGAGTGCTGGGATTAAAGGCGCGCGCCCCGTGCTCAGTTTAATTGGTGTCTTATCCTGTGAACACGTAAACGAGCAGGTGGGGGACGAAGTACTCTAGTCTTTCCTCTAGCGGCAAGAAGCGGGATTACCGATTGAAGGCCAGTTTAATCCTAGGGAGACTCAGTCTCAGGAGAAGAGCTGGGGCAGTAGCTCAGTCGTGAGCATTTTGCCCAGAATGTTGCCAAGGCTCTAGGTTTGATCCCCGACATTGCAAAATAAATAAAAACCGGATAAGTGGGTTTTTTTCTTTGGCTGGTGGAAGCCCTGGATGATAAGAAAGGCGGGGTCTACGTCATTTTTGCCTTGGGTGTTGGCGCCCTCTGCAGCCCGGAGCTGGGACGGTTGTCAGAGCTGGTCTGGTACCGGCAGGGAGTGGGCACAGTGCAGTTGGAAGCAACACGATTCTTGATGGATGGGGCAGGAAGGTTGGAGACTTGGCTGACTGGAAAGCCCTTGCTCGAAGTCGACCGTGGGATGATGGTTTATGTGCAGTTGACTTGGGGACACATGAGTTCTGGGGAGAAGGAAGCGATTGCTGGGTTCTGTAGAGGGCAGCTCGGCAGGCATGCTCTGTGGCAGGGCTGGTGACGGGGTATACCTAAGGGTTGTTCCATCACAGCACGGGGTGTGGGCTTTCACACCATTCCCATCTTGGTCAAAGTAGAGGCCACACGAGGATGTGGACTTGAGGCACCTTTGGGTTCTCTGGTCATCCTCTGGTCAGCTAGTGCATGCTTCTCTTCCCAGCACTTGGGAGGCAGAGGCAGGAGGATTGCTCTGAGTTTGAGGACAGCCTGGTCTACACAGTGAGTTTCAGGGAGTCCAGAGCTCCTGGATTCTCGTATGATGTTCCATGCAGGTTATAAAAGAGGCCATAGTACTGTTCGCCAGTGTCCCTGACAGTGGGTTTGCAGTGGGAGAAGCCTGTGAATTCAGTGGATGGCCGGTGCAGGAGTGCACCCGGGCAGGTCCCCTCCTCTGATTGGGCTCGAAGATTGAACAACCAGGAGTCTAATGTGGGCTTGTGCTCACCTGGCAGAGCGCTTGCCTGGCATGCATGAACTCTGGTTACACGCCCAGCACCACATAAACTAAGTGGGCGTCACACATCTGCATTCGCAGCATTCAGGAGGTGGAGGCAGGAGGTTGGGAGTTCAAAGTCATCCTTGGTTACAGAAAGCTAACGTCTGCTCTGGGCTACATGAGACCCTAGCTTTAAAAAAAAAAAAAAAAGCTAGAGAGGTCTCAGTAGTGGTCTACAAATGTCTGGGGTTTGGGTCCCAGCATTCACAGTGTGCAGCTCACAACCACCAGCTAGCTCTTCTGGCCTCCATGGCACTGCACTTATGGGTGTATACACTCACATAGATACACATATACACATAGTTCAAAATAAAATAAAGACGGGGTCTAATACTTGTCTCCTGTTCCCACCATGTCACCCAGTCACAGACAAGTTCACCGAGAGTGTCTATGTCCTGGCCAACGAGCCGTCTGTGGCCCTGTACCGGCTACAGGAACATGTGCGCCGCTCACTGCCAGAGCTGGCCCAGCACAAGGTGAGTTCTGCCAGCCCTGCCGAGGATCTCCCCCGATCCACTCACAGCTCCTGATCAGGAGTGGGGTGCTACATGTAGAGGGGCTGAAGTCAAAGCAGAGACTCTGGTGAGGTGGCCTGTGGCAGCTGAGTCAGGTTGGACAGCGTGGGGACAGCCCTTGGGTGGCTTCTGAAGGAGACAGCGTGGTCTGTGTTGTGACCAGCAAGGTGAGCGAAGAGCCCACGGAAGGGTGTGCCAGGCAGAAGAAATAGTGCCGAGGGCTGGAGGCCTGCCAGCCACATAGATTGGGGGAAGAGGACTGCAGGAGTCTGTGGTCTAAGCAAGGAGTAGGGAAACCCCAACCAAGACAGCTAAGGAATGGAGGACTCGGGGGGTGGTGGTGGAGGACTCAGGTGGGGGTGGAGGACTCCGGGGTGTGTGTGTGGAGGACTCAAGTGGGGGGGTGGAGGACTCAGGTGGGGGTGGAGGACTCAGGTGGGGGTGGAGGACTCAGGTGGGGGTGGAGGACTCAGGTGGGGGGTGGAGGACTCAGGTGGAGGGTGTGGAGGACTCAGGTGGGGGTGGAGGACTCAGGGGGCTCGGGGATGGGGAACTGGGAGGGGGTCTGTCATGGAACACTTATTCCCATAGAGCCTTCCCTCCTAACACTCCCCAGTCCTGCAGGCTGACATGCAGAGGTGGGAGGAGCAGAGCCAAGGTGCCATATACACCGTGGAGTACGCCTGCAGGTGAGACCCCCTGCTGCATCTGTCACAGGGCACAGGGCAGAGTGCCATGGGTTCCCAATCCCCGTCGTCCCCCCCCCCCCCATTGCGGCAGCCAGGACAGCTCTGTTGGGTCCCACACAGTTGTTCTTGGGGAGTTTGGGGAATTGACTCTTTGCCTCTGACTGGGGCTGAGGGCTCACTGGATAAAGTGCTCGCTGCACAAGTTCCATCTGAAGTACCCTCGTGGGCAGTTGATGTGCACCAGTAAGTCCTGAGGAGCTGGAGGCAGGAGCATGCCCCGAGCTCCCTTAGGCAGCTGGTCCCGCCATCGAGTTCCTAGTTTAGTGAGAGATTCTTGTCTCAAATTAGGGGCTAAGACTCCATTGCTGGAATTCTTGTGTGAAAAATGAGGTGGAGAGCAATTGGTGAGCATGCCCAGTGTTGACCTCCACACACATGCAAACACCCACAAACACAAATTCACACATAAACCACACAGATACAAAACCAGCTCCCTCCCAGCTGAGCGGTGGCACAGAGCCTGAGGCTGGACCACAGTTAAGGGGATTCAGGGTTGCCTTCCACCCTGTGATGTGTCCTCCAGTGCAGAGCCTGGCCAGCAGGTACTGAACATGCCACCACGTCTACCTGCCATGGTGTTCTTGAGTTGGGTCTTGGTGTCTCTCCAGGCTGGCCTTGAAGGACAGGTTTAAGCAGTCCTGCTTCTGCCTTCCCAGGAACTGAGGTCATTTCAGTGTGTGTGTGTGGGGGGCTCACATGTGCCATGGTGCACACAAGTGGAGGGCAGAGTGGACCCCAGCATAGAGCTATGCTGGAATTAAAGGAGTGTGCCGCCATGCCTGGCTCTTCTCTGCGTTCTCAGGCCTCCTCGGTCGCACGTCAGCCCTCCTTCTGAGTCATTGTCCCTGTGTCCTGTAGCCAGAAGGTTTTTCCATTCCACCCGGCCTGCATGGTCCCCCAGCCACTTACAAAATAATCATTCAGAGGCTTAATATTAACTACCAATTACATGGCCTATGGCAGGCTTCTTGCTGGCTAGCTCTTATAGCTTAACCCATTTCTATTCATCTATAAGTAAGCCATAAGCCAGCCGGCACTTTCACATCCTGCTTCTCCTGGCATCTCTCCAGACTCTGCCTTTTTCTTTCCCGTCTCTCTCCTTGGATTTCCCACCTGCCTCTAAGCTACCTTGCCATAGGCCAGAGCAGCTTCTTTATTAACCAATCATAGCAACACATACTCACAGCACACAGAAAGACATCCCACAGCAGTGTCCAGCCACACTTACCCACTCCAGCATCTCACAGCTTCTGTAAAGTGCAGGTTCAGACAGCCAGTTCCTTTGATAGGCACATCCTCGATTGCCTGGGCTTTTCATGGGCTCTTACTGAGGACTTGATACCCTCATTTGCACAGTTCTGTGGGGTTTTCTTTTTTTTTTTTCTTTTTTCTTTTTTTTTTAAAGATTTATTTATTTATTATGTATACAGAAGAGGGCGCCAGATCTCATTACTGATGGTTGTGAGCCACCATGTGGTTGCCGGGATTGAACTCAGGACCTCTGGAAGAGCAGCCAGTGCTCTTAACCTCTGAGCCATCTCTCCAGCCCTCTGTGGGGTTTTCTGGACACGAGAGTAACAAAGCCCTTCACACAGATGACTCCAGTACTCATAGGAAGGACGTGGGGCCAGGGAGAGGGCTCTGTGGGTGAAGGTGGCTGGCCAAGCCTGCCTCTTGCAGGTTGCCCTCTGACCCCACAGGGCACTGCTGCAGATGCATGCCCTCCACAAAGAAATGCTTTTTTAACAAAGAATCATGCCAGGCTGTGGTGGTGTGCACCTTTAATCCCAGCACTCGGGAGGCAGAGCCAGGCGGATCTCTGTGAGTTCGAGGCCAGCCTGGGCTACCAAGTGAGTTCCAGGAAAGGAGCAAAACTACACAGAGAAACCCTGTCTTGAAAAACCAAAAAGGAGGAGGAGGAGGAGGAGGAGATGATTGATGATTCATATAATTTTGAGATTGGGTCTCACTCTACAGCCCAGGCTGCCTTCAAACTCAGGATCCTCCTGCCTCAGCCTTCCCCAGTCCTGGGAGGACAGGCATGTATAACCATGCCTGACCTGTACACTTCAAATCCTAAAAGCCAAGTTACACAGCCAGCCACCTTTTTTTTTTTTTTTTTTTTTGGTTTTTCGAGACAGGGTTTCTCTGTGTAGCTTTGCGCCTTTCCTGGAACTCACTTGGTAGCCCAGGCTGGCCTCGAACTCACAGAGATCCGCCTGGCTCTGCCTCCCAAGTGCTGAGATTAAAGGCGTGCGCCACCACCGCCCGGCACCTTTTTTTTTTTTTTTTTTTAACTTTTATTTTATTTTACAATACCATTCAGTTCTACATATCAGCCACGGGTTCCCCTGTTCTCCCCCAGCCCCCCCCCTCCCCTTCCCCCCCGCCCCCCTCCCATTCCCACCTCCTCCAGGGCAAATCCTCCCCCAGGACTGCGATCAACCTGGTAGACTCAGTCCAGGCAGGTCCAGTCCCCTCCTCCCAGACTGAGCCAAGCGTCCCTGCATAAGCTCCAGGTTTCAAACAGCCAACTCATGCAATGAGCACAGGACCCGGTACCACTGCCTGGGTGCCTCCCAAATAGATCAAGCCAGTCAACCAGCCAGCCACCTTTTAAACACTGCATAAAGAGCAGTTCCATCCCTGGAAAGCCACACCCACGACAGTCCCTGGGCTGAGAGGTATCCTTTCCCTGAGCAGGACAACAGTGTCTCAGCAGACAGACACACTGAGTGTTGGCTTTACAGACAGGAAACCTCTTTTAGTTGTCAGTCGTTAATGGTGTTGAAGGCTGGGCTGACCTCCACAGCTCCTCACTGAGGCTGCTGGTGTGGCCAGGGTAGGGACCTCCCGGCAGCCTCGGCTGATCCCCTCCTTTCTGTTTCAGTGCTGTGAAGAGCCTAGTGGACAGCAGTGTGTATTTCCGTAGTGTGGAAGGCCTGCTCAAACAGGCCATCAGCATCCGGGACCACATGAACACCAGCGCTCAGGGCCACAGGTAGCCTCAGCCACTGCCCCACCCCAGCCCTGTCACCGCCCTAACCAGGGAGCTGTCCTGGTGTTCTTTGTTATCTGTGGCACTAATCCCCCGTAACCCAGCTGCATGTGAGGAATACAGCGGTGCCTGATTGGCAGGCTTACAGGGACAGTGACCGAGAAACACGTCAAGGAGCAGCCTCCTGGCATCCCCAGAAACATGGCCAGAGCGAGGCCCTGAGGTTGGCTCTGGGAAGATGAGGTTGGTGGGGAACTGGGCTTCCCACCCTGCCCTGCCGTGCTTTCTCCAGCTGCGGCCCAGTGAGGTGAAAAGCAACTGCTGTCCTTGGATTTTTTGTGTGTTGGTTATAACTCAATAAACACAGCCGCCCTGCACCGGCCTCAGCCAGTCTTTACTGGGGTCCGCCGACTCTGCCTGTCGCTGGAATGAGGAGCAGCAGTAGAAAGGCTGCCGACCCCTCTCTGCTCTCACGTCTCTGCTCTCACGTCTCTGCTCTCACGTCTCCGCTCTCACGTCTGTGTTGCGCCCCATCTGCCCAGGCAGCCTGGCCTGGCCTCTGGCGTACCTGCTGATCCCACCCTTACTCAAGAGCTCAGGTCTTGGGGGGCCAGGGTGTGACTCCAGCCTCCAGTCAGCTCGGCTGAGCTGTCCTGAGCCGCGGCATCAGTCTCATGCACCCCAAATGTTTTGTTCCAGCCAGGAGAACCCATCCCCTCCTTCTGTGGCCTGACCCTGAACCTGGAAGACGCTCAGGGCCCCGGCTTCCCCACCCAGGTCAGTGCGGAGGCTGCCCCTCTGCTGAACTAACCCATTGGTGTGGGGACCTGCTGTCTAACTGTTGGGGTTCCCGGCTGCTCTCCTGGGTGGAGGGCTGGCTTGGGGTTCCCACTCTGACTCTGCTGATCAGGTCTCTTGTTGCCTCAGCTTCCTCTCCCTCAGGCAGACCCCTGCCTCCTATGCCCCCGACCACTCAGCTGCTGTGGGACCTTGAGGCTGCACCTCACTTCTCTGGTCTTCAGCTTTTGCTTCATGTAAACATGGCTCATCCAGCTGAGCCGCGTGGTCAATGACAGCTATACGTTGTGACAGCTGTGTCTGTGCGGGAGAGAATCATCCCAAATCCCAACGTCTTCTAATACTGTAAACTGACCAGCCCTGAGGCTGCTTCAGGCTGCACACAGCTGGGGGCTTCCTCCGGCCTTTGCCTGTTGCTGTGTTGGGGTTTGGGTCTAGGGTCCGCTCACCACCTCAAGCAGAGGGGCTGATCCCCATGGGCCCCATTGGTGCTGACCATGCTCTGCTGCAGAGGCCGGGGGTGTGAGGAGACTGGCTTGCAGCCCAGAGGCAGCAGAGCCTCTTCCTAGACAGCAGCCGGAGCGCCTGCTGGGTGACAGGTCATCGAGCACCGAGCACCTCCCTGGTCCAGTGAGCATTCACAGGCCGCTTGGGTAGCAAGAACTGACCGGGCAGCAGTCAGTGGGCATTCGCTGAGTGCCTCAGCCTGCCAGGGTTCTGGGCACTCACGGCTGTCACCACCACCACCACAGGAGATGGGCATCTGGGAGGACCCGAAGCTAGAAGGGCTCCCAGGTGTGTGCCTGTGATCCTGTCAGCCCTGGTGCATCCTGCCCATACCCAGCCCACACCTGGGTGCCCCTTCGTTCCTGCCCCAGCCCACACCTGGGTGCCCCTTAGTTCCTGCCCCAGCCCACACCTGGGCACCCCTGCGTCATGTGTCTCCTGGTCTGTTTACCTCGTGGCATCCTGGGCTCCTCCTGATCCCAGTTCCATCTCTACAGACTTCTTCACCTTCCTGAGATTGCCACCCCTCTGTCCCCCAAAGCCACTCTCCTCCGGTCACTTCATGGGGTCAGATACACACTGCCTGTCTAAATCCATGACCCTCAACACAGTCTCATCTCACACAAGAGGAAAGTGGCTTAGTGGTGAGACAGCTGCCCCATGTACTGCCCCACCTGCAGGCAGCAGGATTCACACCCTGGCTTCTGACCCTTGGCCCCCTCCCCCATCCTGTCCCTGTCCCCAGTCCTTGCAGAAGCCGGCTCTGGGACACCACACTGAGAACTCAGCAGGAACTGAACACTTAGCAAGGTGACCAGTGTCTTGTGCCTCCTGGCTCAGCCATAATTGCCATGAACCAGGGTCACTGTTCCAGTAGCACCCCGGGGCAATCTTGGTGCATATACATTGAATGTCCGGAAGCTGTTCTTCCATGCTGGGGTCACATGACCTATATCACGTCACATAGGTGTAGGGCTGGGTGCTGGCTTCTCTGAGATTGAGGTGAACACATCCCTGTCTAACCTCTTAGGAGACACTGGATAACTGTCTCCTACCTGGCTTGGCCACCAGCTCCCATCTCCTGGGTCATGATGGGCCAGGGTGCATGTCTGACCTACAACCGGGCCCTGGGTTCCATTCCGGGCCCTGGGTTCCGTTCCCAGACTCACACATGCACCAAACAAACTAACAAAAAACCCCAAACTCCAACCAGATAAATTGCCAAAGTTGGAGCAGTTGGAGCAAGAGCATTGTGTGGCATCTCTGCCTAAGACTGCAGGTGAGCCATGTAGAGCAGGGCCACCAGACCCAGCTGTGTGCCAGCCAGACATGGAGGGGCTGGGGAGATGGCTCGGTCAGCTACATATTCACCTCACAACTGCGAGGACCTGAGTTCAGCCACCAGAACCCACATTAAAAAAGCCAGGCATGCCGTGTGGAGGTGTCGCACACCTTTAATCCCAGCGCTCGGGAGGCAGAGGCAGGCGCAGGCCTCTGTGAGTTCGAGGACAGCTGGGGCTACATAGAGAAACCTTGTCTCAAAAAACAAACAAACAAAAGGCCAGGAATGTCACCAAAGCTTGTAACCCCAACACCCACACAAGTATGCCTCCATAGATAACATGCATGTAAATAGATAGTAAATGTAAAAAGTCCCTCCAGGATTCGGCCACTCAAACAACCTAGTGTGCTTCCAGGGCTCCTTAGCACCCCCAGCCCCTGGGTGCCCCCTCATCTGGCAGCTGGCACCTTTCAGAGGTTCCAGAGTAGGACTGGTCTGTCCCCCACCTCAGCACCTGTTGCCCAGGCCTCCCCAGCCATGGTTAATAATTTACATCTCGTTTGCATCCCTCCCACCCCCAGCTGAGCATTGATCTTGGTGCACAGTCCTGCCCCACACAAACCAGCAGAGGCTCCCGGTCCTTTGAGAGTGAACTGAGCCTCCAAGGGACCGGGCACTCAGCAAGCCTTACATCTGTCCCCACACTGCTCCAACCAAAACTCACAGCCTCCCCACCTCACTCGGTAACTTGGAGACAGGCGGCGACCTTCCTGTGCCATGGGACAAGCAAGACAGAACCTAGCAGCCACCTGACTGGGAACAACCTGTAAGGGGTCTGACCTTGAGTGAAGAATAGGCTCCTCCAGACCTGTCAGGGCTGAAAGGGAACCCACGGTGGCCTGTGCTTATGACTTTTAAAACTTTTCTTTGGCATTTATTTTATTGGGGGCACATTAGTATCATGGCACATGTGTGGAGGTCAGAGGCCAACTTGGTCTGGCAGCTAGCACCTTTTCCCCTGAGCATCTCACAGTTCCTGAATCGATTTCCTTTTCCATACGGCTCTTGCTATGTAACAGGCCGGCCATGAGCCTCAGCCTGTGCCTCAGCCCCTGTGTGCTGAGGTCACAGCCTGGCACCACCAGGCCCGGCGCTGCTGGCTTTTTAATAAACATTTCGTTGTAAAGTACAAATAAAACTCACTGTTTTTTTAGAGATTTACTTTATTTTTAGTTTTGCGTATGTGTGTGGGTTTGCGGAAGTGCCGGTGTTCAGGAGGCAGGAAGAGGGTGCTGGGGTTAAAGTTGGTTGTGGGCCTCCATGGGGTACCAGGAACTGAAGTCAGTCCTCCGCAAGACAGAGCCACCCTGCGGCCCCTCTCCGGGAAACCTTCTCTATCCAGGAGCAGACCTGTGTGTGCCCCAGATGTGGAGTCCCCGGTGGAGGACGTAGAGTCTGATGGATGCACCCCAGCACTGGGCCTAGAGTCCCCGGTGGAGGACGTGGAGTCTGATGGATGCACCCCAGCACTGGGCCTGACTCCCAGGAGTCCCCGGTGGAGGACGTGGAGTCTGATGGGTGCACCCACCCCAGCACTGGGCCTGACTCCCAGGAGTCCCCGGTGGAGGACGTGGAGTCCGATGGATGCACCCCAGCACTGGGTGGATGGAGTTGAGGGAGGAGGTTCTCAAACAGAGAGGATGTGAAGGACAGAGAAATGGTTCCCCCAGAACCTGTGGCCTTTGTCCCTACCTTATCCACTAGCAGAGAGGTGAAGTGACCTGCCAGCGATCCCACAGCAGGCCCCGCAAAGGAGCGGGGTTTTCTAATCCCAGGATAAGTGGGCCCCCAGAAAGCTTTCAACCTTCCCCTGCTGGGTGTGGTGACTCCTGCCTGCCACCACAGCACTGCGGCCGTGAAGTCCACCAGACCTGCAGAGTGGAACCCCGTCTCAAACAGCCAGGCAGACATGCCTGACATCCCGCACCGAGGCAGGAGGGTCAGAAATGTAGGGTTGTCCCTTTGTTTTGTTCCCAATACAAGGTCTCTTCATGTAACCCTGGCTGTCCTGGAACTCGCTCTGCAGACCAGGCTGGCCTCTAACTGAGCGATCCTCCTGCCTCTGCCTCCGAGTACTGGGACTAAAAGCATCTGTCACCACGCCAGGCTCGGGGTTGTCATTACATAATTTGAAGCCAACTTTGGCTCCTCACAGGAGAGAGAGCAAAAAATCCAAGAAGCAAAGAGCCTTCGCTTTCAGATCTCCGTCCCTCGCTCATCCACTCACGTTCCGCCTCACCTGAATAACCAGAGGTAGTAACTTGACTGTGCCTCCAGGGACACTGAAGGTGATGGGATTGAAGGGGTCCAGGGCAGCGAGGCGAGCCTCTGTGGGTGTGGGGCGTGGCCTCGTGTGGGCGGGTTGGGCCCTGGCCGGGGCCCTGCTGCAGCTGCCGCCCTCACGTAACCAGAGCCTGCCGGTTGCATCAGAGCCAGGGGGAGGTGACCAGGTAAACAGCGGGGCCCCGGGGGCCGCGGCTCCCCAGGCTCCTTCACCTACAGGAGCCGTGTTCTTCATCTCGGAGCCCAGGCAGAAGCCCCCAGGCTGGGCGCGGGTCTCAGTGTGTGCTGGGGACACCAGTGAGCGTGGAGTGAGCAGCTGGGCGAGGGCAGGGACCCATCCAATCTTCTCTGAGTCTGAAGAGCAAGTGTGTAGCCACGGGGAGTGGGTCACTGCTGTCATCCAAATGCTTAGGGGCTAAGGCAAGAGGACTGCCCTGAGCCCTGAGGGAACCACGGTGGGGGGCTGAACCGACAGGCAGGGTTCCAGTGACACAGGTGTGGAACGAGGCAGAGGCCACCCGGTCAGCTGTGCTCCTGCCCCACACCCCAAAGCCCTTCACCCAGGGCAAACTCCTCTTGTTGGAAACCCACTGCAGACGTCCCCGTTTCCGGGAAGCGCCCCCATGCTCCTGGTACTGCTCCTCCACAATTCTGGTCTGACCTGCCACTGTCCCCACGGGCCCAGCCCCACCTCCCAAGACTGGGGAGTGGGGAGTACAAAGACTACTCCCGCCATCCTGGGGCCTCACTCCACAGCCAGCCTTGCCCCTGACCTCTGATCCTGTAATTCTTTTCTTCTGGCCTGGTCCTGTGCAGGATGGTGCTGGGACTCCAGGCTGAGGGTGGATGGGAGCCGCACACAGCGACCTTCCCTCTGCAAAGCCAGAGGTGAGCTGAGACAGGGGCATGGTGGTGGGAGACCAGAAGAGGACAGGGTAAAGTCACAAGGTCAGCAGGGTCCAGCAGAAGTCCAGGACACTGGCTGGAGGCACAGCTGGGGGGCTACATCGGTGACCCCAGGCCCCTGTGAAATGGGGCCAATCTCAGAAGGCCGTGAGCCAGCATTAAAGGCTGGCTTGGTCCCATTTGCCAGCAGAATCCGGGCTCTAAGGAATTATTTTATTTCTTTATTGGACAGTCTCAATCCCGGAACTTGAAGCAATCCTGCCTCTGCCTTGTGAATCCTAAGGTGACATTGGCGTTGTTTGTCCTTCCGGTGTTGGGGTTGGAAGGTGACTTGCTGCAGGCCAGGCAAGCACCCCATCACGTCCTCACGCCTCTTATTTACTCAAGTTCATTTTCCACCACGGTGTTTCCAAGTCGTCTGGGCTGGCCTTAGACTCACCATCCTCCTGTCTCAGCCTCCTGAGTACCCGGGCCCAATTTATTTATTTCTTTATTTAGAGGCAGAGTCTCAAGACTGCCCAGGATGCCCTTGATCCAGAAACTTAGCACACTCCAGCTGGAAGAGCTGGGAGGACAGCCTGTGTCATCAAAACAGGCGGCAGCGCTGGGCCACCCCCGTGTGTGGCAGAGTTCTGAACAAGGTCCAAGTCAAGGCCAGGGTCACTGTGAGGTGACCTCACGGAGAAACCCAGTTGTTTACATGCATCCTTGCCCTGTATTGTTTTTTTAAATCATCTTTATTTATATACATATGTGGCCACAGCGTGGGGATGTCAGATTCCACCATTCAAGTACCAGGGGTTGAACTCTGTTCATCATAACGGTTTCAACTGGCCACCCGACCCTGTTTTCTTTTTCCTCTTTCCCCCCTTCTGTATAATTTATTTATTTTTATTTTATGTTTATTGCATGTATGTCTATGTGAGGGTGTCAGATCTTGGAATTAGAGACAGTTGTTAGCTGCCATGTGGGAGCTGGGAATTGAACTCTGGTCCTCTGGAAGAGCGGTCAGTTCTCTTAACCACTGAGCCATCTCTCCAGCCCCCTCTTTCTTTTGTTTTTTGTTGTTGGTGGTATTTTGTTTTGTTTTGTTGTTTTCCAGACATGGTTTCTTTGTAAAGCCCTGGCTGTCCTGGAACTCGCTTTGTAGACCAGACTGGCCTCGAACTCACAGACACGCACGGCCGGCCGAGCCCGGCTTCTCTAGTCTGTTCGGATCAGCCAGGACTCTCCCAGGCATCCGCCCCTATGCAAATGAGTCCCACCTCCATCCAATCACCTCTCGGGGGCGGGGCTGCGCGGGAAGGCGGCTGCGGCCGGCCCGGCGGGACGGAGCTCAGTGCTGCAGCCGGAGCAGACGCTTGCACAGCAGCAGGCAGGTGCGGCGGCGGCGGGGACCGACTCCCGGGACTGCAGAGGTGTGCGCTCCGGGCACGGTGGGTGCAGGGGGCACTGTGTGCGGCGTCTGAGTGTTTGCTGAGTAGGGTTTCAGGAGTGTTTGCTGAGTAGGGTCTCGGTCTAGCCCAAGCTAGTCTGGAAGTTACTATATAGCCCAGGTCAGCCTCAAATTCACAGCAGTCCTCCTACCTCAGTCTCCAGAGTTGTGATCACAAGCCTGTGACCACACTCAACTGTTGGAGGCTTCTTCCCCTTGAGAGGAGGGAGTTTGAGACGGGATCTTACTCTTTGTCCAGGTTAGTCTGGAATTCACTATGTAGCCCAGGCTAGCCTCAAATCCTCCTTTCCTAGCTGTCCAAGTGCTGGGATCTCAAGTGTGACCACACTCCATGGTTTTGGGAGTTTGAGAAAGGGTCTCACTCTGTAGCCTAGGTTGGCCTAGAAGTCTGTGTAGCCAGAGCCAGGCACATCTTTCCCGGCCAGCCTGGTCTATATAACGAGCCCTAAGCAAGACAAAGCTATATAGTGAGACTTTGGCAAAGAAAGACACCTTTGTAGCTCAGGCTAACCTAGACATCGTGGCAATCTATTTTTGGTCTCTCAAGTGTCACAATCACAGATGTGTACCCATTGATGGCTGTGTGTGTGTGAATTTCTTTCTTTTGGGTAGAGGGGGGTTGAAAGGTTGAGATAGGGCTTCTGTATGTAGCACAGGCTAGCCTCGAGCATTCGTCAATCCTACCTCAGTTTCCAAAATGTGGGATCACAGATGTGTCCCTGCTTGAGGCACTGTGTGAAGTTTTGGTGAGGGTTGGTTCTGTGATGAAGTTACGGCTTTGAGCTGAGACACCCCTCTCGGGGTGCACACACCTCTTGGGGTGCACACACCCATTGGGGTGCACATACCTATTGGGGTGCACACATATTGGGGTGCACACACCTCTTGGGGTGCACTCCACGGGCAGCCATTGCCCGTTTTCCTTCGGGCATGTGTCTTCCTTAGAAACTGCATCGGGAACAGACACCAAGCTAGTGTCCCTTTCACGGTCCTGACCCGCTCCCTGCCTCCAGGGCCCTGCCCAGCCCAGCCCTAGATGCAGACAGAACTCAGACACAGTCTAGGCCTCCACCTGCTTGCCTTGGAGTCCTTACTGGGCAAGTTGAAGACTATGGCCTTGTGGTACTGGGGTCAGGAATTCTGACTGTTGTTGTGAACAAACCCAGGTTCAAAAGAGCTTGACTAGAATTCACCTTTGAGGATCTGGGGAGATTGCCTGTGAATGTGTACAGGTTCCACCCTGGGCACTGGAGGGGGGGGACACATCTACTTCAGTTTAGAGGATTGGTGATTTCAGTTTGCTTGCCAAGTTTGCAGAGGCCTCTGGAAAGGCGGGCTTGCTCCCTCCGGACTGGGTCTGTCACCCACTCTCTAGCTAAAGAGAGAACAAAACTTGTCCTGAGCCGGGCGGTAGTGGTGCACGCCTCTAATCCCAGCACTCAGGAGGCAGAGGCAGGTGGATCTTTGTGAGTTCGAGGCCAGCCTGGTCTACAGAGCGAGTTCCAGGACAGC